GCCTCAGCCATTCTGGGATTCTGTGTGGTTCCGAAGGTCGGGGTGACTGCTCAGAGAGAGACGGGTTTCCTCCCCGCCTCTCTTCACTCTAGACTGTTGCATGTGGAGCTGGACTGAGCCAGCCCAGTAGCTCTCACTGGGAATACTTCACTGACTTCACTGCACTGACTAAACATCTTGACTCTTCAGTTGTGGCAGTAAGAGAAAGGGGAGAGGAGAAGAAGAACAGCAAACTAATTTATCATCCCGGAAGCTTTTGAAAAAAATCACTGAACTTCTAGATACTACTTATTTACAATTAATTTTACCCATATTTCTGTCCCTTCTTATTGGCCTTCACCTATTAGTGCTTATGCTTGCATCGAGGGCCAGAGATCTCTACTGAACAACAGCACAACTGTTAAAAGCTCCTGAACTGTTCTCCTACTAACAACAGTGCAGCAACAAGGCAAGAAGGGAAAAAAAATAATTTATGGCCCATCAGATTATATTGCCATAAATTATCCGCAACTATTTGAATTTTTAAAATCCGAGAAACCTCAAGATTGTGGAGAAGGTAAAACCTGTGTATGGCAAGAAGAATATTTAGAAACAGATCACTTCTTTTTTGGATTTCTGGCTTGTTTAATGTAATCAGAAAAGGCATGGCTCTCCTGATTTATCTCTGTATGCTTCAGGTGAAATTTGAAGAACTGTAAAATAAAAACAAAGGCAGCAGATCAAATAAATGATCAGCAGACCACGCAAAACCAGACGGTATTTTCTGATTCAAGTATTATTCTATTTTTATTTTGCTTTTTGGGGAAATAAAATCCTACTTAGCAGCAAGAACAGAAGAAATGACAGAAGTAAGGAAGGTACTAGCCAAAAGCTACAGAACAAATACTGACATTTTCCCAACCCAGGGTGAGAGTGGAAAACAGCCAGCAAAGAGCAGGAGAAAAGGGTACACTGGCATCCTCAAAAACTCGTGCTGTGCCAGGTCCAAGCCAAATCCTGCCAAAACCGAGACTTCCCAGGAAAATGCTCTGTACTTTATTGCAAATAGGAGAAAGACATTTGTCAAATCCTTTTCTTTTCATCCTCCGGAGAACAATACCTTTTATCTGTCTCTTACTAAGAATATTACCTTAAAATAGAGGTATATTTAACAGCCTTCATACTCTTTCAAAGGTTCTGTGACAACACGATTTGATGAAAACAAAACTACTACCATTTTTTGTTTCTTTTTATCTGTCTTTCCTCTAGCCATCCTTGCACTTCATGCTTTGATACTTCAGGAGATCGATCAAAGGATGGTCATAAAATGTAGTTAAACCAAAAAAATGACACGAGGCTGAAATGTTGCCTCCTTTTGAATAACAATCTTCTCTATTTTCTGCCCTTTGTGAAAAATCCCCTGTGAAGTTCTCCCCTGTGCTATACTCTATTTAAATATTACTTCTTAACGTCAATATTTAGTTTCCTTTTAAAGAAACTCGGGCACAAACTTGAAAACAGCATGCCCTTCGTGTATTTTGTGCATATCCATCACAACCGTAATTTTGCAAATGGACTTCAAGCCCTCCATGCATTACCACTATTACAAAGCAGTCACACAAATGAAATCCAAAAGAATTGCTGCATTTCTGATTTACAAGGCTATTAACTAAAATTCACAAGTTCCAAGATCTGGGAAGTATACTTTCAACAGAATAAAGCTGAGACAAGCTAGAACCATATGAAGAATAAACATATTTATCGTGTGAAATTTGATTAGGGTTTAAGCGAATTAGTAGAGTCTACTGCTCAAAGTGAAATTATTACAACAGTTGTTGAATTAAGAAAGTGTCTTTGACAAACACATCAAAATTCTTTGCCTTATTCTATGTTCTTTCCATCTTACTTCACTGTGATAACATAAACCCTCAAATTTTCTTATCTATTTATTTTCCCTATTTACTTCTGTTATATCATACAAGCAAAGCATTTAAACAACATCAGACAATACGTATCACTTATCATTTCACTTTCATTATTTGTGCTGGCGCCGCTTTAAATCTGAACTCTTGCTCTAACTTCCTTGACACTATATAAAAAGCAAAAAGTCATTTTTTCAGGAGCATTAACTGGCTTCCAACAATTACCGGAGACTTGCTAGTTTTATGAATATTTTGTCAATTAGTAGATAATTAATATTCCACATGGAGGTGTTAAAACCATTTTAAATATGCCTTCCCTGCATTCACACTCACTTTTTTCATTTTTCAAGCTTTTGTATCCTGGTGAGGCACTTGTCTTCATCAAACAGGAATTGATTTCCATCCCAAAATAAAGATATATTTTCATTAATGCAGTTACTTTGGAAAAAACAACTCAAAGACTTTGAAAACAGTCTAACATTTTCAGGCTTTGGGTCTTGGCTTTGTTAGTAAAGGGTTACACTCAGAATGAAATTGTCCAGTTTTATTATCTTGCTCCGGGTTTCTTTAGCACAAATTTGCAGAAGGATTATGAAGAACGGCCACTGACCTGTTTTGAGCTGAGGACCTACCTTTTTATCACTCAGTCCAGTCACTTGGTCAACAAATTCCTCTTGAATCATAAACGCAGCTAAGTTGGCAGTATAACTAGCCAGGAAGATGACAGCAAAGAAAGCCCAAACCGACACCATGATTTTGCTCGTCGTGCCCTTGGGGTTCTGCACAGGCACAGAGTTGTTGAACACCAAGCCCCAGAGTAACCAAACCGCTTTTCCAATGGTAAAGGATGGCCCATGGGGATCTGTAATTGCAAAGAGCCGTTTTTTAGTTGCAGTTAAATTCAGCCTTGCCAAGATACCCTACACAGTAGTAACAAGAGACATGGTTGGACCAGATTTCAGCACGTATTCCCTGTACTCCCAGTGGAATCACAGGATTTATCACAGACACTCTCTATTGTCATGACGCTAATTTCCAGATTTGTAAAAAAACAATTCAACATTTTCCCATGTGGCATTTAGTTCAAAAGTTTGAAGATGAAAACGCAAAGCATAGATCTGGAGGAGAAGTAAACGGGTACACTGTAAGGTATGTGCCACAGTATTGCCCCCTTCAGTCTTCTGTGCCAGCAGACGTGTGAAATGGGAAACTGTGGGTTTAAGTCCTAATGATTGAATTCTACTACTTTTCCCATCCAAATTATGTTTTATCATCTTCGGCCTTAGAACGTTGTGCTTTCTGAACTTTATGTAAGCTCATTTAAGATCCAAATGTGTGAGTACGTCACCTACTTGTAAGCAGCTTTGCCCTCCTAGGATAAATCAGTAAGTCCACACCCAGGGACTCCCTGCATGGACACGTAACTCAGAGCAAACCAGATTCTGGCTTCCACACACGTTCAGTCAGGTCCGTGTTGGCATTACAGGTAAAAACTTGTCCCAGCTAATCCACTCTGTAATTCTTGTTACTCCTGTTTTCAGTCAGCTTTTAACTCACCCCAAAGCAAGAAGTGGCCAGCACAATGCCGGTGTGCCCGCACAGGGCAGAAGTGGATTAGCAGTGCCGTGATTTGTAGAGCCCTACGCAATCAGAGGGAGTTTGTTCCTCCCCAGCAATAGGTAAGCACAGTGCAGTCATCGCACATCGCTCGTCGTCTAGAGTCCCTTATCCTCGACGGGGAGAAACAGGTCTCCCCTGCCTGTGACTCATCTGACCTTTTTACAATTAGCTATTTTTCAGTTAAAATGGCAATTCAGACAATGAGCTCTGATGCAGACAGCTGTAAAATTACCTCCTTCCATGCCCTGTCCCTTTACCCAAGGGGAGGCACATTACGAACTCAGATTTCATTATTAATTTAATTTCTTTTACGAATAATTTAATTCTGATTACAATTAAAAAACCCCAATGAAGCTGAATTTTGGTTTGTGGAACTACCTTCTAGAGACACCTAAGATCGAGCTGCTACAGAGATAATATGTATTTTCTGAGCAACAGTAATAAGAGAAATATATGCCAGAAAAGGAATCTAAAGTTCTGGGTTTGCTGCTGGAGATTGCATTACAACTGAGCTTCATCTAGGTAAATTTCCCATTTATTTTAAACTTCCTGTGTTACAAAAGAACAGCACCTGGATTTGTGGCAAGTCTCTAGAGCTACGTTAGGATAGTCTAGTGCCACAAAATGCCTTTCTAGCTAAATAATCAGTTCTGGCACATGGCGAGGCACAGAAAAGAACATCCTAATCCTTAGATCCCCAGTGTCTATATACACCTTTGATCTCACCTTCCCAAATCCAGTGTTTATTTTGGACAGAAGTTACACATTTACCATCTTATTGAAATGGTAACTTCATGGGAACGATACAATAAATTACTCTTTGAGGGAACAGGTCAATCATGGTCTAGAAGAAACCGTTAGCTTGGAGCAGGCTCCAGAACTGCGTTTGCCATTCTTATAAAACGAGGCAAGTATGACTTAGAAATTAAAAACAGGCTGCTCTCTCAACTGTAAGTAAAGAAAGGGAAGAATGAGGTCACTACAACACATGGGATCCTCGTTCTCAGGTCAAAGTGCTGATAACATAAAGCTGCAGCTTTCACAGAGAAAGGCAAGCTCTGTATTAAATTTGTTGTGCTGGGGTATTTTGAAAATGAAGTTTCTATAACCACGAATGCTGCACAAAAAGAAGCAGTGCCCTTCTGCCGCTGGCCTCATTTTGAGGCTGAGCTCATCAGCCTTTTTATATGGGCAACATAAAACTAGATACAACATCACTGCTATTTTTCCAGATTATTCACCAAATCACACCAGTTTAGATCATCTCCTCTGAACTAACCATGATTAGAGTTAGGAGCCTGCAGAATTTATTCCAATGCTTTTTTAAGCTCACACTCTACAGCTGGTACGCTATACTAACCAAACACTGTCTGAATATGACAGTCATATCACTTACCTTTCTATGTATCTTGATTCCAATGAATTAGAATACAAACATAAGGACATAAGCCTTCAAGAAATCATATTTTAAACAAAAAGCAAACATAGCTTCATCGCCGCTTTTGTGTTTTGTTCCTATGTTTTGTTTATTTTAAAAGACGGAGAGCAAGGGATGGGAAATACATGACTTTTTATAGCTCTAGGGTGGTGTAAAATGCAAAGCTTACCTCTCCCTTGTGCTAAGTTCCTGTTATATCCTACAGGACTAAAGTACTCAAATATAAAGACAGCCATGGCGGACACAATGAGAAGCATCACAAACATCATCACCCAGACAGAAGCACTAAAAGGCTCTGCAGCAAAACAGACAAGAGAAACAGAAACACAGTTCATTAAACCAGTCGCAGCACAAGAATTCTAATGTCTTCAGCTAGGCAAGCCCAGCAGCTTTCTTTAAATTAGCTTTTACCAACCAAAATGCCAGCAAATAACTACGTAGCAAGAGATAAAGAACTGTTGTTAGTATATACACACGAAAACCATGGTCAAAATCTTAAATGTAAGTTGCGATTCAAACCCAAGGGCTGCACGCTTTTCTTTGGCAAAGCCTTGGCTGACACTGAGTGGCAAATAATTGGTTTGCCTCGCTGCGTCCTCAGCCTGCAATCAGGTAGCCCATTTCTATTTATCCCATGCTATATGCATTTATCGACAGAATGGCCCAGCCATTATGACTGTTTCTGCACAGCAAAAGCAATTAAGCATATGTTTAACATATTTGGTAATCCAGTGAATTAGACTTCTCTCTCATTTCCTATCCGACAAAGAGTGTTAGGGGGGGAAAAAGCTAAATGCTTGCATTCAAAGTAAATATTTTTGTTTCGGAATTTTTTTTTGCTCTCATTGTTCACTTTCATCTACCTGCACTGAAGATGTTGTTTTTACCAACTGCAAACACATCCTTTTGAAAGTCTCATTCTCATCTGGGAGTAAATTTCTGAAATCAAAAGGTTTTTGTGCAAAGCAGAATGTCAGTTTGAAAGACAGAAAAACCATGATTAAGTAAAGAAGTAGGTTGGAACAGAAAACTGAGAGCAGTTTCACATACCAGACTAAGCAACAATTTTTTGAAAAGATTGGATACGGTAATAGTAGGTGATAACACAAAGTTCTTAAATATTATCTTGCCCAATCACAAACTGTCATTTCAAGAGTCCCTGGGGTAGCTCTCACTGTCTAAGGATACATGTAAGAAAGGTTTGGTATGGCTAAGTAATCTCTCTTCACCAGGTCAGCTTCTTTGAGAGCATTTTATATCCTAATTTTGGTAGATAATGCATGTGTGAGTGTGCTCTGAAGCGTGAGAAAAAAAACACCTTAGTCTACTGGTTCAAATTAAAACCAAGAAGCCCTTGTAATGACAAGAAATCAGTGTGTTCTGATGCTTTGTCTGGTTTTGAAAGCCCAAGAGGTTCCTCCATCTGAACTTTTCATTCTTTGAATTGAAATTAGGATCACCACTGAAAATTCAGAATTGAATTGAAATTAAGAATTGAATTTAAGATCACCACTGAAAATTCTTCCATCATTGCAGAAAACAACTATGAGTGAGAGCTGAGCTGTTCTAAACCCAATAGCTCAATCTGAACCTTGCCCAAGTCAGTATGAATGATTCACTCAGAACTACAACAAAGTGCAATAATGTAGTAAGTTGGGCCCAAGCATGGAAATCTCATGAGATCATTTGCCTTTGACACAACGTCTTTAGAAATCTGGAACCAAGAAAAGACCAAATTCCAAACATTTCCACTGGTGGCTTTGGATGAGAACTAAAAAGGTCTGGCAGGGAAATTTAAGCCAAACTGTTCTCTTTCTGGTTTAAGACAAGGTTAAAGTTATTTTATTTTTAAAAGAGGCTATGAAGTTCTTTCCATTAATGTAATTATATGTTTGGAAGAGTATGGTAAGCTATGAAAATAACAGAATTCTTAAAAGGGCAGAGAAAGACCTGTTTAGATGCAGACAGGTAAAGGACATTATGTAGCCAAAACCAAATGTTCTATGAACTCACCTATTAAGTGGAATAAATTGGAATTCATACATAACTATTGTACAATTTTGACAGCATTCTCATAGAAGAAAGCAAGGCTGGTAAAACTCTTATCAAAAGCAACAGCGTAGGAACAGCAATGGTAATTTGTCCAAAACTAAATAAGGCAAAAGGCAAAGCAGGTCTACGTGAAAAGGTGAGTTATTAACAACAGGTTAAATTATTAAAGAGCATTATGCTTAACCAGTCTGGTAACGAGATGGAGGATTAAAAGAAGCAATAGGAAACCAAAAAGTGATTTAGAATAGCAAGTCACAAGATTGAACTAGTACCAAATCAATTGAATAACAAAGTTGATCTTCCTGTCATATTAGAGATCACATTACGGATTCAGCACTGTTCTTTGATTCTCAAAGGACAGAAAAAGAACTTCCCTCAGGCAAGTAGCAGGTTTTATAACAACTTTCAGCAAAGCTATAATATGGAAGAAAAATACTAATAGATGACTTGCCAGAGTGCATTTCAAATGATTGGCAATGGAGAATATTGAGCAATCAAAAATATGTTTTACTCCACCACCTTCAAGTTTTACCTCCCACCACCAAACAGTACTTAAACAATGTATAAAATAAAAATGGGGATAGATTTTCTACTCCACCAATCCTAAGAAAAAGAAAACTGACCTCACCCGTGAACTCTCTCCCTCTTAACAATACAGAAAAATTAATTTGAGTTTTCCTGTATTTTCTTTGCTTGCTTAAATAAAGTTGAATCAAATCCCTATAAAATGTTTTTTAAAAATATTTTTGATCTAGTATATATAAATTTGAGTACAATATGAAAATATTTAATTGTGGGTAAAATTCTCATTTGAAGGACACTGCTACAGCTGATAATAAGGAAGCAGCTGTCAGCCCATCAGTTACTTAGATCTGTTGGACACAACCACTCAACGGAACATCTAGTTCAGACAAAATCCTGCACTTGTCTACATTCACAGTAACAAATCACAAACCCAGATATTCCATGGACTGTAATCAAGTGCTATTTTAAAAAATAATTTTCTATCTGAGAGTTTTTGGAAAAAAAATCTTTCAAAAGAATTATGTAAGATGACTCTATTCTTAGACATTCACTTAACTGAAACAAAATCAGTCTGCGAATAAATTCAGTTATCCGCCTGGAAGTATTTTGCATGGCAAAGCATTTTCCTACTATGCCCACCTCATCGAAACAGACAGCCAATTCCAGCAAAGTGGCAGTTTCCTCTATGTCTAAAAAATCATAACTTACTTCTGAGAGCACAGACTTGATTTGTTGGTGCAGTAAATCAGATTTCTTCAAAAGTAACACTATTCTATAGAGCTTTATGAGAAGCGGTTATTTTTACTTTTTGAATTACGCGTTCGTCCAGCTAAGCCAATAACATCAAATGCATTTTAGAAATCTAATAACTATGTTGTGAAAAAGGCAAAAGCAGCCTCTCTTCTGATGGTAGCCATAAGCAGAGTCCATAGTAAAAACCCACTGCACTTACAGCACATTTAGAAAGCACCTCAGTACTTACATTTCAAATGATAATTTGAACATGCTGCAACTGCAGTTTTAAAAATGAATTGACTTTACAAGTCAATGACTCGTACAAATGAAAAGACACTATCTGAATATTTTCATTAAAAGTACAGCCCCTTACAATTTCATTAAAAACTCTTTCATTCATTAAACATAAATAGTAACCACCAACAAAATCTGGTTAGGTATCATCACATGTTCGGGAAGTTATTTGATTACTCACTATTCTATATTTATTTGCATCATCTCTGTATGTGCCTTTGCGGAACAAGTATGAGACAGATGCTCGGTGGCTAAATGATGATTCTCAGACGCAATTATTTGCCCACGTGTAACTGATACTACACCAACAATCTCCTCCTCAATGGCTACAAGCAATTTCACTGGAAGTGAAGAACTTTCCACGATGCAAAAATTGCATCGCTGCTGACCCAGTGGGCTCAAACATAATAAACTGTCCCATAAAATATCTGAAAAATACCGTTTGGGGGTTTTTTTCCCCACCACCGAAATGACTGTAGTGTTACTAGCACTATTTTCCTGTGTAACACATCTTTAAAAATGCTGGGCCCCAACACACTAGGAGGAACATAACAGCATTCAGGCCCTTTCGATCCATCTCATGGCTCATTCTCTCTTTAGCTTCAGGTAAATTCGGGCTAACCACCAAACACAGAAGGAAATGATAAGCACTAAAAGAGAAGGAGAGGGAAATAATGAAAGGAGAAATAAACAACTAAAACAAGAAGCAAACAAGGGAAAAAGGCCAAAGTCTTTATTTCTTTATATTCCACCTCCTTTCTGCCCAGCCTTTCATTTCTTTGCTAGATTTCCACTGTTCAACTGCATCAATGGAGAAAACCCTCAGAAGCCCTCCAGTGCAGTACTGTGGTGTGCAGAAACCAGAGGTAACTTACCCAGTTAGCTGTCAGATCTCTTCTAATCATGAGGAATTCTCTTTTTCTTAGCTATTTTAGAAGGGAGGGTTAAATTCTTTTGTGAATGTGAATGTTAAGAAGATAGGAAACCATTTATAACGGGCTAAACAAGCATGAATTAGTTTGTAAAGAAGCAGCTCTTGAGGAAGTAGTTTTCCCAGCTGAAGATTTTAAGTGATTCTTTTTCATATTGAAATCACTGTCATTGATTTTTCCCTCACAGCATCTAAACCCAGCAGTGCTATCTTCATGTTCTAGTAACGATGAGCACGTCAACACGGTACAAACTTCCTAATGTAAAATTCAAAACTTGGCAGAAACATGGCAATGCACTTAACAAACAAGGAAGCCTACCCAACTCTATAGAAATACAATTAAATTATCTGGATGGGTTGGAGAAGCATACCTAGAAAAGCAGATGGTGAAACTGTGCCATTGCTCCGTGACACCATGACACTAATCCCAGTCTCAACAAATGGCACTGAAAAGTCAACCACTTCAGAGCGCTCTTCATTAATAGTGAGAGACCCCACAGCCATAACTGCACGATGATATACCACCTGATCCACAAAGAGAAGACATCACCAATATTACTCAGTAGAGAATACCTCAGTTCTCCAAAAGAATTAAAACCAAACATTGCTAAGTTCTTACTTAAGAGCTCTTTTACCTAACAGAACTTACTTCACCAATCATTCCATTCCACACATTATTGACTTTCTTGCCATGCTTCCCATTAGTCACCAAATACAGGTCATATGTGAACTTGACAGTTTTAGACAACTTCTTCAAGATATCGATGCAGAATCCTTTGCAGCACTTCTTTACATTAATTCCCTCATTAGTCCTGTTGCTGTCAACACAGAAGAGAGACATAAACATTTCTACTGGGAAAAACAGAGGAACCTCAACAGCAAGAACCTCAACAGCACGCTGTAAAACATTTTGTCGGGCTTGTGAGCAACTGTGTTTTTCTGAATCAATGGAGAAATAATCCGCAGGATGATTTATATAGCATTTGCATCTGTTACGAATCAAAAAGCAGTTGCTTCATCAGAGGTAAACAGACGATAATGGCAGACCACTGCTACACTGCACTCCTCCATCAAGACATACAGCTTCCTCTTACTAATCTCTCTCTTAGGCTTAGATTAAACATTTATTACTTTTACTTTCAAGACATAAGACTACATGTCATTCAGTAATTAGAGAACTTCCCAACATGTAAGCTACATAAAGGCACCGCAGTTCACCCTACTGAAAATGGATGCTCCGTCTTTTTCTGCACTTTGAGAAGGTGAATTTCAGGCCATCTTTGAGTGCAAAGACAAGGTCTTTTCCTTTATTTTTTTTCTGAAATGTTCATTTCATGATCTCTAAAACTTTTTACCATAAGCATCTTAAGAAGCCAAGGCAATACTTTATTACCTTGGAAATATCTCAGAATTAAAATAAAACTAGTTTAGAAGTTGACCAAGTACAGTCATGTAAAAAACCCCACGTTTCTCTGCATTTCCGAAAGCATGTGCCACACCATTTAGCTGTCTCTGGAAATCTTCAGAAACATGCATTATATTCCCTAACATTCGCTCAGTGAAAAAATCTTATTATATTCAGTTCAGAAATGAGTCGATTGAGGCGCAGAACAGGAGAAACAACACTGATAATTGCAAAATGAGAAATTTTCCACCGATTTCTAATGACTGCTCCAAAGCTACAGAGCAGCAATCAAAGCAGTGGACTTTTCATAGATGGCATGCCACAGTGGTATTGCACGCTGGAGCAGTTTATCCTGTACCAAATTTCTGCACAAACATACACTTTCAGTAGGAGACAGTTTCAAATTGTTAAAGAATAATTAAAACCGGCATATTTCAACTTAACTGGAAACAATTCAAATAGAACTCATTAAAACAATCCCATTTTAGAACACAAACTTCTTCCATGTTACTGAAAAGGGCTAATTCTACTTGACTTTGAATTTACTACAAACTTACTATCTTGTAGTTAATTCAATGTGACTTATGTGTATAACCAAAAACTTTCTACTTACTAAAATGGAAGACATGCAAACAAGAGCACACGGTGTGGGAAAGGGAAAAAGAAAGAGGAAATGAAATTCAGAAGGAAGAGCAAAGATAGGAAGCAAGAGGAAAAGAAGAGCAAAGTACCAGAAAACAATTATTCGATGAAAGAAGCAAAGGAAAGAATAAATGACTAAATAGGGGAATGTATTTTGGACTAGGGGGAAAAAAAAGAAAAAAGATACTGTGTATTTACTTACTTAATTTTGACAAATTTACGACATGGCACGGTGTTTTTCTGGCAGCTTTCCATCAGAGGATCCACATCCTCAACGATGACAAAGGGAGCCTCCTCCAAGGTGACGATACTCAGATGGTTGTCGTCTGGGTCGCTGTCTGCAAAAGAGCTGTACCTTGGCCAGACCGAGTACTTCAGGCTCAGCGAGTTGTTCTCCCATTTCCCCACCTGAAATGCCAAGACACACAGGCTGCTGCTATCTGCCGGCTTGGTTTTGATAAATGAGAGCTAATATTAAATCTGCTGGGGTACAGGTGCGGGAAATGACATTGGAAAGACAGTTGCGTTGGGTTTTTGTTATCAAAAATTACGTTAGAACTTTTTAGTAATTGCACCAAGTGAGAAGAAGGTCTGTGGTAAAGACAAATCAGGTAACATTATTTTACGAGATAACAGCTTTATACAGACTAGGTGACATCAGCTAACACTGTCCATCACCTGGCTGTAGGCGCAGGGAGATTTAACATGCGTCGCTCCCATTTGAGCCACAGCAGCAACCAGATGCTCCATTTAGAATCAAGGTGAATTTGCAGTAATAAGAAAACAGTTCCCAAATAAAGAAAAACCAATAACAAACTAATACCCCCTTCCCACACACACATCAGACTGAAAGCCAAAGTATCACAATATCATTTCTGTATATTCTCAAAAGAGAAAACTTCTATTCTATTTGAAAAGCCATGGTGAAAGCCTTTACCCAGGGTGCTACTGCACCTGAGCCAGGCTCAGACATGCTTCTTAGTAAACACAAATTTAATTGTGTATGGTTTTGTTCTTATTAGAAATAAATTATTTTTTCTATTTTAGTTAATGCCAACTGTTGGGAAAATTTAGGAAAGCATAACCCACTTTACATTAAAATTTTCTGCTTATTTACTCTTATAAATTATCCCTTTTAAACAAACCCACATTTCCTTCCACATTCAGAACACTAAAAAGGGGCACGTGATTTAAATATTTTGAAAACTCTAGCATTTTCTTCCTCAGATTGTATCCATAAATCTAATTGCATGTTTTATCTGAGTAGTGATGACAGACAATATAAATGAGATAGTAATCCACAAAATTTATAACCTAATGCATTTTAATAATCCTTCGGTTGTTTAAGCTAAACAAATTATAGCATAATCATGAGACTGCTAAAATATTTGTTTTGCAAGGAATGCAGTTGGAATTAACAGTACAACGAGAAACTCAATTCCTATGAAAAAGCTGTAATAAAAATGTCACCTACCTTCTGTCTTCTAAAGACTTCAAAACGAATCACGAAAATTCACGAAGAACATGATTTATATCCATTTCTATTTAGGGAAGCATATAAGCACATGCCCTTTGCAGTTTCAATTCTATCCTCTATAAGTCAAGATGTCTCACTGAACTTTAATGTAGGAGGCAAAAATGTTATAACTCTCTATACACTTGAAATAGGAAATTCAAAATATCTCAAGGGAATTAGGAATTCATACCTAAATCAAGGGAAATCAGGTGCAGGATTTATACGTACAGTTCTAGTATAACCAAAACACAGTGGATGAAGCCTTTGTGAGAAAAACTATTTCATGCATAGGGAAACAAATCTATTTAACTCTGTATGAGGCAGTTATATTGCAAAACTAGTTTAATCATCAAGTTGTGGTGCGCAATCACATTCACAGCAGAGGCTGAGCTGCTTTACGTTGGCTTACACAGGGTCGTGCGCATCTATGTCTTGAGTACGCCAAGAACTTGGCCATCTGGAACAGGGCGATTTCCAGCCAGCTCAGTACTTCAGTCGAACGTGCCAAGTCATACAGTGAATTTCAGAAGTGGAAAACAGGTCCAACTGTCTGCCTAGTCCAACCAGCAAGAAGAAACCAAACATGACTGAGGCTCAGTTCCGTTTGTGTTCCATTTGTGTGCGCCCGCTTTTCTAAATCACTCGATACAGGATACTGGGAGGAGGCAGATCTGCCTGACCGTGAAGCCCTTCTCCTGCAAGCCACGGGTCCTACGGACCAACAGAAATATGTGGTGCCTGTGACAACAGTACATCTGATCCTACCAAAAATGTAACAGCTGCTTTGATGCCATTAAAAGAGGAATCATGATGCTCTTTCGTACTTCAGCTGCAGTATCTGCCACTCAATTGCTCTGAGGAGGATATAACCATTCGTATTTTTAAACAGCTGGATTTGGGGAAACGCTAACTCCTTCTGACAGTTGTATCTGTACGGTAGCGTTATATGTTGAGCCAATCTCAAAAGTTAAGTCCAAAAATTTTTATCTGTTGCCTTCCATGGATAACTGCCTTCCAACACCTGAAGGGAACCTACAGGGAGGCTGGGGAGTGACTTTGTACAAGAGTGTCCAGTGATAGGACAAGAGGAAATGGATTTAAATTGAAGGTGAATAGGTTTAAATTGGATCTTAGGAAGAAATTCTTCAGTATGAGGGTGGCAAGACTCTGGACTAGAGTGCCCCGAGAGGTTGTGGCTGTCCCCTCCTTGGAGATGTTCCAGGCCAGGTTGGATGAGGTCTCGAGCAACCTGGGCTGGTTAAGGCCCATCACAAGGGGGCTGGATCTCTAAGGTCCCTTCCAACCTAAGACATTCTATGATTCTAGGATTTATCTCAATATTCACTCCTTGTAACCATATTTTTTAAAAACAGTTAAAAATTAAGGCCTTGCCTTTGGTCTATAGGTGGCATCTCTACATCTCTGTCCAAAGAGGTCTGCTACTGCAGCCGCAGGTCATCACCCTGACTTCACATGGCTTGATATGGTGCACGAATTGCATGTCCACTGCAGGTCATGCCTCTACCACCAGTAGAATGAGTAACCCACAGCGTCAGAAAGCACAATGGAAAAATGTACAAGAGAAAAATATCAATGTCATGAAGAATGGTAAAAAAAACAAAAGGCAGCAAAGCTCTGAAAATCCTTGCTGGTGGGTTAAGAATGGTAAATGAGGAAGAGCAATAATTAGAAAGAGCCTGGATGTCAATCTTTTGGCTTGGGAAATGTTTTCTGGATTTGTTTGTTCCAATCAATAAATGGTTAGCACAAGGTGCTGGATTCACTCTGATGCTGGACTCACAAGCTAACAGTTTCCATGTTTATTTGGTACTTTGATTTCAAAATCCCTGTAACTGTTGAAGATTACACATTACACTTGTATCGTTCTGCTACAGTTTTGAATGATCAAAATCCACTTTCTTCTATTTCATTTATTTTAAGCAGCGAGTAAGAATTTAGTTTTTTACAATCAAAACATGCAGCCAAAATATAGGAGGTTTTTTTATATTTGTATTAGGAGCCTTTTAGCTTGCGCAGGACTAATAACAGCAAAGTTTTGTGTCTTCATATACTAAGTTCTTTCAACGTCCTCGTGCAGTTGACAGTTTCCCTTTTTTACTGGGCAACGGGTTGAAATGGCACAGAAAAGCTGTAGAATAAGCAAAACTAAAACATGAGCAGATTCTCATCGTAATAAAGAGCATTTATGAAATTGTATCCATATGTAGGTGTCCTGCAGGATCAGTATTTGTGCCACTTACGGAAGGCAGATCTAGTATTAGATGCAGGCAATATGTGTTTTGAATGCCTTTAAAGTCTTCAGATGCTTAGGGAACAAACCAATGAGTTATAACAACTACACATGCTCATTGTATTTCAGAACATTATAAAGAGGTCTGGCTATCTGGTTATAAAGCATAAGAATTTATGTGCAAACCCAAATATAAGTCCTTATTCAACACTGACTGTTAGAGTGGCTTATCTACGACAACAAAGCAAAATATCTGAGTTAAAAAAAGCATGCCAAATCCTGGTTTCACCTGTGAAGGTCACTACAAATGCTGTAGAAAATGAAAAAGTTCATAGGTGAAATACGAAAAGTAGAATATGAAAAGTTCAGTTGCTGCTTGCAGTAGGAGACAACGGTGATATTTGAATAAATCATTTTACAGTGAAATAGTTCACCAACGTGGACAGCTTCAAAATTCAATTGCCTCCAGTGTTTTGCAGCACTCGGTGTGCTACTTTGTGGTCATTATCGCTACTAAATAAAATGTACTAAATGTTGCATCTTCTGACCAAGTCCAAGTATCTAAATGTGAGGTGGAAGGGGTGTGTGTGTAAATTAGCATGATTACCTATGAATTCTTGATGCAGGTATTCTTTATGCTACATTTTCTAATTGTAATGAAAAAATATTTGAACATATTAGTTTGCAGGTAAAACTACAAACCTCCGGTACAGAACAGTAAGGAACAGTAACTCCATGTTATCTTTGCAGAGACTAGAAATAATTTTCATAGCCTGTCTATCAAGGGCCTAATAGGTCCACAAAAATAAATTACAATAAGACAGCGGTAAACTCACAGGTAGAATAGAAACACGCTGCCTCTGTTGTGGCAATGTTATCACTACAGTCTAGTTGAGAGGCGTCCCTGCCCATGACAGGGAGGTTGGATTAGATGATCTCTAAGGTCCCTTCCAGCCTAGGCCAGTCTATGAGTCTATGACACAGTGAAGAAAGACCATCTTCTTTCCATCTACCACCTAAAAATTCCTACTTGTACTTCAATCCCAAGGAAACTCTCTGGCATTCAGCAGCTTTTTCTTACGTGCTCAATCTTCAAGCCATCACTGCTTGGAGAAGGGCAGCCAGAGGACAACAGGGAGTTAAAATACTGCAAAGGCCTCTCGGGCTGCCAGAGTTATATTTTGATAGGGTGAGAGATGGGTAGAAGAGAAGTTTTCTGAAGATAATTTCCATTGTCCTAATTTCTGGAAAGAAAACAGTTCAGAAAGTGACCTTTTTACTGTTCAAAACATAAAGCCACCATTTGAAATAGCTTGTAAAGAGAAGTAAAGATGTTTTAATAAAGACACTACACTTAGAGTTCTGGACGTGCTTTCTAGACATACATGCTAACTTATCAGAATATGTAGAGATAAATATGAAGTGAAAAAAAATCAGCTACACCAATCTATTGTTTTGGTTTGGATTGGGTATTGGTTCATAGAATTTGAGATTTTGGTGGTTTTTTTTTTCTCTCTGAAAAGGAATGGAAACATTTTCAAGTTTTCCAAACTCTCTGTTGGTCAGGATCATCATTTCCACTAGCTCCTGGAAGCAAGAAAATTGCCCCAGGCAACTCAGCTGGAAGCACAGCTCATTGAC